ATTGTGTAGCTTTGTGCTTAATTACAAAGAAACAAACAAACAAAATTTATGCTACGAGTTACTACTTAGAAAACAACAAATCCAATTCAATTTGTTTTTCTGTCAACAAGTTCTGATAGAGTATTCAGTCTATTTAATACAGGTTTTTAATGGAGGAGTTCTTAACGCAACGGGAGACCTAGGCCTAAATATGGCGGTTTGAAAGCGGTATTAATAAGGAACCAGATAGAATTCTTGGGATTTAATTTCTGCTGATAAATATAGGGAAAACCATCTTTAACCGCGATTAATTAATAGACAGATATAGGTCTTAAAATCATGTTCCAAATTAAAATTGCATAATCTTTGAACATAATAATTTTATGTGCTTCAGAAGTTGAAAATGTTATCAGCGTGAGATAATATTAATAAAAACCACAAACAAAGCTAATGTCAAAATGTCTTAATATTTTTCAGAAAAAAAAAACGACCTATCCTCTCCAGAGAATAAAACCTTTTATTTCAGCCAACGTTTCGCCATTGTGGCTTCATACGGGTTAGTAGTACAAGCACTGTTTTCTTGATGAAGCCGCAATTTTGAAACGTTAGCTGAAAGAAGTTATTATCTAGTGGGTAAAGGTCGTTTTTTACCTATTTTTATTGCCAATAATGTCAAATTAATTGTCTTGATACAATATGATAAAAACCCTACAGCTTAATAATTGTCTGACATTGTTGTCGTACAATGAATTAAAGTCGTGCCAGATATTCTAAAATAAATACTTTCCAAAGCTGTGTTGTCAATAATTATATACGTATAATACATACAAGTTAGATATTCCTTTTCCCGGATAATAATGTCAGTTTACTGTCTAATCCAATCACATGGGAGCTTCATTAGACTTGCCGTAAAATAATTATACAGTTTCAGAACGTTTCAATCATTATTTGTTCTACGTTTCTACGTCTTTTCCGAAACGTAGTCTGTTTACTAATGAACTTTGGGTTGTTCTGTCAGTTTCTGATCACACAATTAATCCCACCGGCTCGTTGTTAGATTAGCAACGGCGGGAAGTCATCTC